CCCCCCTGGGCTGGACCTCGGAGCAGTTTCTCCTGTGATCACACTTGCATCCACCAGACTGAAGGTTTTAAAGGTAACCCTGGGAATTCAAAACGTTCCCCGCCTCATTCTAGCTATTTATTTATTGGTAGATGCTGTAGTGTTATGAAAAGAGGTTAGTGGAGAAGAAGGCTTAAACCTTGGCAGGGGAGAAACCAAAGAACCCTTTCGGTAGGAAAAACAGCTGTTGTTACTAATTGTGCTCAGTTACACAACTTAATTCAAACACACAGAGTTTCATAGTCATATTTTAGTGGATAGATTGAAAGAAAATAAACATGAAATAGAGAAAAATGGAGAAAACATCAGAATAAACAGTTTGGAGGGGAGGAGAGGGAATTTTTTTACTGTATTAGATTTGGTGCGATCATTTTTTGTCATATATATATAATAATTATCACAACTACGTTGTATGCATTTATTTTTAAGGGTTCCATTAATTAAAAAGTTTTAATTTATTGCATTGTTCCAAGGACTTCCTGAGTCTCTGCAGGGAGACTGGCCAGAGAGATGCTTCTGTTTCAGAAATATTGTACCCAGGCAAATGGTCTTCTAAAAATAGAAATCTTCTAAAAATTGAGGGCTGATCGTTTTGGTAAAGTCTTCCCCCATTTGTTAATGGAAATTGGAGTCAATGAAGTTGTGATATAATATTTACAGGGTAGGAAAACCCACTTTATTCAAACGTGTTCTGTCTTTCTGGGTAGAGTCAAAATTTTGACTTGGATAAGTATTGCACTGTTCTGGCATTAATCTGAAGCTTTATCTGAATTACTTGATGTTTCTGAGTCTATAAAAATCAAGTTGGAAACCTTGAGAGCAGTTTGTAACCTTGGTGCTTCAAAAGCTTGCTGTAAATACAACGGGAACAGTGTTTTGCTGTGGTGTTTCAACTATTCTCTTTTCAGTTTTGTTGGGGAAGGTGACAAGCAAAAAAGAGTTGTATAAATGTTTAAAAATGTTTTAAATATATAGTACAGGCTTGTTTCATTGCATGATAAAAACCTGTTTTGGATTCAGTGTGGAGAATAGCTTAACTTCTGCCCAAAAAATCCCATTTTTCATGCATGTATCACCTGCAAAAGTTAATTAAGATTTCTGTGTCATAATAGCATCATAAGGCATTTTTCTATCATGTCTTTGCAAAGGTTATATCATTAATGAGGTATGAAAACAGATTAACTACTAAGCCAAGGTGTATGCTGAATTGCCCCCTTAGAGTAACAAGCTCAAATAATGAAGCATCTCATTTAGTTAAGAACAGGAATATGCAATTCCAAATCTACTTCAGAAATATATTTTGACCAAATCAGAAACTAACATCTTGCACAGAATTAATCTTGGGCTTAAAACTCTAGAAGAATAACATATAATATAAATGGTTTATTTTCTTTACTCTTCCTCACTAGGAAAGAGACAAATTTGGGATCTTGGCCAGTAAGAGCAGGACTTCTGTCCTTTGTGGAAGAAAAATGACAATTGAAAAGGGAATGTAGATTGTAGGCATTGGTTTCTGAACCAGCAACATGAGCGGTTGATGAATTTTGTACACAAGAGTGTGCTTGGGAAAACAAGAGTCTCTTTGAAGTTCTTTTTTATTGCTGCAATTTGAGAAACTGGGGTAGCTCAGTCTGCATCATTCACTGGTACCTTTGTATATGACTCAGACAATGCAATTTGAAGAGACTTTTACAGATTAGGGACTTTTTTTTTTTAACATGCAAAATGTGTTTCACTGCTAAATGGCTGGTACATTCACACAGTTTAAAAATATGTGCTGAGTTCAGTTTTTTATTTTAGATTTGTGGTTCATCTTTCTATTTGGAGCACTTGAGCATCACTGCAGCTACAGCACTGCATCTTGTGATGGTCCTCGACTAGCTTCTAGGCTAGGGCTTTTGCATATTAATCCCAAAACATCAGTTGTGATCACCAGTGGTGTTTGAAATCTGGGGTAGTGATCCTACCAAACAACATAAATTAAGGGTTCAACTCAAGTCCAATCACCAATGGCTACGTAATTAAAAACCCAACTGGACACAAAAGCCTGATGTAGTACAGCGTGCGTTTGTGGTCCAGCCCTTAGGAGCAGATAAAATGCTTGGTTTTCAGTTTTATTGAAATGAGGTGATTTCTGCCTGGCCCCATAAGACAGGGTAGGGTCTGCGTGGTTATTTAATGTGTATGAATCAGGAGGGAACCTGGGAGGACGGGTGTAGAAGTAGAAATACAAGTAGTACATGTTTACATAGTGTGTCATTGTCCCTGTGTGATGGCTTCCTGGGCATTTTATTCCTTGGGTCACAACACATTTGATTTTCAGTGGTGAGCAAATGTTATGCTGGTTTCTTACATGTAAGCACAAACAAATCCTGCCTGGTGGTTTGCCACTTGCTGTCAAGGTGGCAAACAAACTTTTTAATCCCAAGCAAGCTCTTTCAGTGCTGGATAAAAAATGTAATATACAGGAAATTAGTTCAGCTGAAAAGCAGAGTTCTGCCAAGGGGAAAATTTTCACGCTGAAAGTCTGTCACAAAATATGAGTTATTACAATGGGTGAATTTACAGATTGCTGTCAAACCAGTGCTGAATGGTGTTAATATGGTTGTTTAGGGCAGCGCACATTTAATTATTAACTGTTATGATACAAAGCCATTATTTCTTCTGGGTCTATACACTTTTATTTAGTGTGCTTCTGCTATTGGGATTTTCAGGCAGTGATGTCAATACAAAGCCTTCTCCTGTGAATGTGGAGCTGAAGAATTTTGTCTAGGTCAGATTCATCAGGAGCCCATGCTACTACTACCAAAAAAAAAATAATACCTGTTTCTTGTGGGTATAACATTACAGAGCAATGTATGAAGAACAGTTAAAGTCAGTTTGGTGCCCATCAAAACACATATGTTTGAGGGATGGAATGATATAGGTATCGAGTTGAATTCCAGAAGGAGAGCACCTTGGTGAGAGCTCAGACTGAATTTCATTCAGTGAAATACACCGAGAAATTGGTAAAATTCAATGCAATTAATTTCAGACCATGCATATGGGCTGGAGAGCACATTATCTTCTGGAAGTGTCATGGGATCTCCAGGATCTGGAGTTGCACTTTTACCTCTCACACATGGGATAGCCCTGGCAGGCTCACATTGGCAGTCTGGAGTTTGGGTTTTTTTTCAATAGAAAATGTTTTTTTTCCAAAGAACAGCAATGCCAATACCAGCTCTTCCCTTTTGTGCCTGATTTGTATAGGTGAGGACATTTCAGAAAATGTATAAAATGATAGATTTTTGCAATATCACTATCTGGGGAGCTTGACCTGTGTGCTGTGATAGTTCAGCCTCTTAGCAGTGAGTTCCCTGTATTTGCGCTTTAAATAAAAACTGCAGTTTCTCTTCACTCTTTCTGACCCTGGAGCAGTGGAAACAAGCTGTTCTCACTGAGAAACACTGAAGCTATGTGAAAGTGGAGCAAATATAAATATGGATTTATGTTGTAAATCTGTGGAAAATTTTGAGAGAAAATTATTTTTGAGGAAAGTCAAGTTTGTTAAATGGCCAGAATGCTGCTTTTTCTGAATCAGTGAAAGGGTACTGCTTTGGAAAAGAGGTTCAATCATGAATGGAAAATAGCAGTTAGAAATCAAAAACTATACAGACTAATCAGAAAATTGAAAAACTAGGTAGACTATATTAGAATCAGTATAAATTCAGTAATGAATTTAAGAACTCCAGGGGCAAATCAGTGGCTAGAAAAGCTCTAGGACTCTAGAGTTGAAGGATGTCTCTAAGCTGCTGAGCGGAGTGCTGAGGGGTCCCAACCCCAGGGCAGATCAGGTCCACTGCAGTGTGTGGCAGCTGAGTGTGTGTGGTCCATGGCTGGTATTTGTGGAACCACCTGCAGTGTCATTCCCCAGAGTTCCTAAGTGTCCCTCAACAGCACAGTCCGTAATCACTGCTAATGACAGGATTGCATAAGAAGTAGTATTCTATCCTTAGAAGGTGCAGGTTAGCATGGTAATACAGGACACCAGAGAGAGCAAGCAACGGTATGTGGCACATCTTAGGAGAGGCGCCTCTTGTTGTAGCACTCTGAGTAATGTCCTTCTGTTGACATAAATTTATACAAAATTTTCAGTTGAGTAAGTTTTCTCCTTTGTAGCTGAACAGAGAGCGTGTGGTAAATAAAGAGTTTTATTGATTCAGTGCCCAAACTGATAAGTCTAAAGGCTGGAAATTTGGGATTGAACCGACATTTTCAACAAAATTTTAACAATTCTGTTTCTTCCTGTACATTTTATTCTGAGTCCCTCTATGTTTTTTTTTTTTTCTTTTCCCCATTAATTTATGTATATTTTGAAAACCATTGAAAAAAAAACCTAGATACAGAAAAGTTTTTTTAAAAAATCTTTTTTTCTTTTTGGAAATACTGAACTGAATATTATCAATCCCTTCAAAGTTTTCATGTCTTTTTCTTTTCGGCTGAAGTCATTCGTGGAATTTACCCACAGTGTCAGGAAGGGCTGTTATGACTCTCGGAGGTCTAACCAGGTGAAGCCAGAGTAGATGCACTTACCTCTGAGTATTACTCCCATGAGACAATAGTATAATGGTTCACACAGAGCTGATTTAGACATGTTTAAAATGGTCCTGAAAAACTGGTGAGGTTGCTCAAAGTGCCAGAGAGATTATTCCTAGAGTGTACAGGTCATGCATAATGTGGAGGCTGCTTTAAAAATGATGTCTGCATTAAAAATCACACGTAATCGATACTTGGCTTTGTTTTCTGCTAAGGACTGCCTTGAAGTGCTCATGCTCCCCGTGATGCAAGTGTAGGCTTTTCACGGCGTTAAGAGGATTTGGTGCATGTCTTTAATCAGTGGTTCTGATGACTGAACTAGCTTGCTCATTAACTGCTGGACAGCTCATTAATTTTTCAATGAACTTTTTTCCCTTGCCTTCTAGGTTTATGATGAATGTGACTTGGGAAGGCAAAGATTTGTCCTTCACGGCAGATGGTTACCAGGCGCACCCCAGGCTGGTGGTCATCGTGCTCAACAACGACCGCGAGTGGGAAAAGGTGAGCGTTACCTCGGGGGAAAAGAGGGAGAGGAGACAGGAGAGACTTGGTAGAAGCCTGTTAATGACAAGTAGACAGATTAACATCACAGATGTCAATGATGATATTCTGCTGTAGCAGGTTTGTCACAACAGTTCAGAAAAGATAATTTTACCTTATTCTGAGTAGGTCTGAGGAGTTTTAACAGGGAAAGCAACATATCAGTGAAGATATGCCATGTGGATTTCAGAAGATTTCTGTGAAATGCACCTTGGGTTTCTTCTTACAATTGAGTAAAATAAAATGGATGACTGAAAAGATCTCTAGAAATTTGCACCTTAATTACCTAAATTTGTTTGGATTTGTATATCTTGGCAACTCCAGTCCTCTTATTTGCTTGGGTTTGTATTCTTCAACAGATTTTAGAGTAAATGTACATTTAAAAAACAAACAAACAAACACAAACCTGTAAAATTCCTGTTGAATTGGAGGATAATCCTTATGTTTGCCTAAAAAATCAGAATCTTGACTTGTGTTCTCCTGATAGGCCAATGATCTCCATAAACCTCTATAGTGACTAGAAGGAAAAGTGTCTTAATATGAGGGCTAACCACATATGCAAGTAATAAAAGAAAAAGTTTATCACGAGTGTTTTTTCTTTAAAACTCCCACCTCACCCTGTGATTGTTTTGGCTAAGATTGCAGGCTATCTCTGCTCCCGTGTTTTAAAAACAGGGGACTTTAGAAACTGGTTGCAATATGAGGCTATAGCAAAAAATACATCTGTATCATCCACCAGTTTTAATTTAAATTCCTAAAGCATATCCTACATTATCTAAATTGCTGATGAAATCTATGAACTCTTTTTCTTATAGTTTTAGGATCACATAAAATCAACTTAAAACTCCTTTTGTAAGACTGCAAGATTCTTCACAACGTTGAATAATAATGGCAAAATAAGAATTACTGAAGGACATCTCAGTAAATATGCTAGTCATGCAAAAACACAGAGAGTAGTCCTAGATTATGCTATGTATTTCTTTATGTTCATTTGATGCAAATTTAATTCTCTGGATAAATTTAGTCCTATCCAAATGTGTCAATCTGAATCTTTGGAGGAATCTTTTGCCCAGTAACCATTACAAAAATTTCTTACCCTATTTTAAATTCTTCAGCAGTTTGAATATCATATATAATGTTCTGGAAAAAATATTATACTACTTGGGGAATATTACTATGAGGCACCAAAGGGAGGAAATGGTTAGAGAGGCAGCCAACAGTGATTATGGTGTAATAATTTCATACATTTTGTACCTTGAAACTTCTCTAAAGAGGCCACTCAAAGGACAAGGAGAAACAGGTTTGATGTTTTTGAAAAATGAGCTAACAGCAGCAAAGAAATGCTGAATATATGAACTGATATGGTTTCCAAGAAATCACTTGAGCCCATTTTAACCTTCAAGTGACTCCCCTATCAGAGAATGGAAGATTTGGTGCAGGTTTTGCTGTACCTAACGGTGCATCTTGTACAACAGCAGTGCATGGTCCACCGGCTGCGCTGGGCTACAAGACTCTCTGTAGGCTGATGCTTATGTTGTCTGTGCAGTTTTCCGTCTAGTAAACCCCTTCCTGCTTATTGCTGTGTTTGGGGGGCTTCTAAGAGGAAAAAAAGAGTGACTGAAGGGAAGCCTCTGGCCAGAAAAAAACGTATGCATCTGCTCCTAGCTGCCCCTTTGCTTCAGAGCCCTTTTGGTACCTTTGTGGAGTTACTTGGGCAGAGACAGCCTGCCCCGAGCTGCAGCTTGCGTCTCTGCTTCTGTCGTAGGACTATGGGAAGGGGGCCAGGTTTAATTATGTCAGAGGGGAGAAGTGAAAGGCAGCCAAGAACGGGCTGTCACCACCAGAATCATTCTTCTGACCACAAGCTGATCCCTGCCTCTGTGGATGAAGACAAATAAACTGACTAATCAATTATCCTGGCAAGCTGGACGTAGCTCTCGGCTATCTCGGAGCACCCCACAGCTATATCAGCAGAGCGTCACTGTGCACTGCAGAAATAATAGGACAGTTCCTCTCACTTAGAGACACGAGAAGGTCTTTGCCCACCCCTGGTTTGTTTGAACATCCCTCTAGTATCATCTCGACATTCTTTCCAAGTTGCATTTCTCACCCCATATTTCTTAGCCGATTTTTTTTCTCCCTGTTTCCTTCTCCTTGTGCTGTTTTGCTCAGTTTCAGAACTGTCAAAGTTACTCATCAGAGATCTAACATTTCCTGCTTTGAGTTTTGAGACAGGTACATGCTTTTACTTCCAGTTACAATATTGCAATGAGTATCACAGAATTGTTTTATTGAAGTCTTATTAAATATCCTCAATCCTATATGGAAAACATCAAGTCCTAGAATCTAATTAAATGTGAACTCATGTGAAAAACTGACAATGCAACAGCCTGCTAATCCTTGTAATATAACTAATGTATACAGAAATTGCAAGTAGCTATTTTATTATTTATGTAAGAAAGAGTAATTGTGGTTTATGTGAAGATTTTTTTACCCAGTATTCTCTTGAAAATACAAGTTCTAATTTTAAAACTTAATTTTCTTTGGTTTTAGTATAATAATCTGCTTTTACTTAAATACAATTTTTCCCTTGGTCTCAAAATTGATATACTTGACTCGAGGCTTGAACTTATAGAAAATCCATTCAACCATAGTTGAAGAGCATACATCTTACCCCTAGGAAAGTAAGTTCCTTTTACTTTACAAATGATTCAGTATGGAAACTTTGAAGTGGGAACTTCACATATAAATGGGGTTGACAAAGAGATTTGTCCCGTATCAGATTCTGAAAAAAGCTGGTTGAATGATAATAGTTTGAAGACTGAAAATCACTTTTGGGCATGTTCAGCAGGCATCCAGCAAGATATTTTGACAGATCCTAAAGCAGCTACTCAAACTTCTGACATCAACACTCATATACTTGCTGCTAATCTTGACAGGCAAAGGGGCTGCTCTTCTCAGGCAAGAGATTTTTAATAAGACAAGCGTAATGTGCTTGTTTCAGTGAAACTTGATAAATTTGCTAGAGTCAACAGTGTTGCCCAAATATCACCAAAGCACTGCAGGAATACTGTGCTAGTGCTGAAAACCCCCTCAGAGGTCCAGCAGTACCAGCTCCAACTTCCCCATCGAGCTTATCACGGGGAGGTGTGACCTTGGGGTCTCCCCAGCCCATTAACTTCACTGAGTTGCCAACGTCACGGTCTGTTAGTCTATCTTTTTTTGTTGTTTTTAAAATTTTTTTAATGTGGAAATAAAACCAATCAATCTAAGATTAAAATCATACACTGGAACGTTATTAGCAGTGGCAAAATTAAGTGGTTTAATTAGCTGTGCTTATCATATATGTTAAGTAAGGTAGGGAGGACTGCATAGCATTTAAAGAAGACTGTATTCCACGTGTAAAGATGAGTTTCAGGGTAAAACTAATTTTTCCTGGTGCTCTCAGATAGATGCAGATAAAATTACCATGGTGATCTGTATTCTGGGTGAATTTGTGAATATAAATATCCTACATTTTTGTAGCCAATGAATTTGTACAAGAAACAAGACTAACAGGTACTATATAGCATAATTACTAGTTAAATGCCACTGCAAGAGCCATTACTTACATTGAGGTTTATTCTAAATGTAACCAATTACCTTTAACTTTCTCTTAATGCAGGATTTAATGTAGAACTTGATTTTGCTTGGATTAACTAGCATGTGCCAGATTGATAAACTCTGTGTGAAGTTGTACACATTTGTATCTAAGTAGGAATGAGTGGGCAGAGGGTACGCGATTCCTGCCTGGAATAAATGAACCAAGGTCTTCACAGAGAGCTCCATCTGGCTACTAACTTCCACCGTTGTTTAGCCGAGAAAAGACAGCTATCGTATCTAATGGTGTAGCTGAAACTTCACTGGACAAGAACTGATAAACCTAACGCTTGGTCGGGTTTCTGACAGAGCTTTGTGTCAGAATGCTGAGATAATAAAAGGTCACTGAGATGATACAGGGTAGTTTCTTGGGAAATGTCAATTGATTTCAGAGCAAAGGTTGTGACAGCTGAAGGATCCTGATGCCTCGTGAAAGACACTCCCTAAAAGTTGTGCAGAAATGCATATATTTTAACTGGAACAGATGAAATCGCATGATCTAATCATCCCTTTGCTGGTGTATCTTTTGTTGGTAGCTCTGTGGCCTAACATGATATATTACCTTTGCCCATAGGAGAAACAGTGTGCTCTTTAACATCTGTTGGGTTGTCGTTTTCTTTGTCCCATCCTTGTTGCTTCATTTATTTGGTCTTCCTGTGAATATGCCTATCCTGACACTTGCTGTTGAGTAAAAATTTGGTGGTGTTTCTGCATCGGTGAGCTTTTACTTAGCCTAAAGGCCTTTCCTTTGACCTTTACTGTACTGAATTGTTTGAATTGCACCAATTATTATGCAGCATTTCTTAAATCCCATCTTCCCAAAGAGGATGGTTCCCTCCTCTCTGCGGCTGTAAAGGAATTGCAGCTACCATGGAAAGCAGTGGTAAAATGTGTTTTGCTCCTGTTCTTACAGCTAATATTAGAGAGGAGATTAAAGAGTAGGAAGACTTTCAGGGCAGCTCTTCCTCTCTGGAGGTAAAGGTGTGGCTGTCTGGGCGTTTCTGGAGAGCTGTCAGGTCTTCCCTAAGTGCAGAGGTGACAAAAAGTCTTCCCTCTGTAAGGTGGACAAAGATTTAGCTCTTTTCTTTTCCAATGACATAATCAACTCATAAAACGGCTTCTCTGGCATGAGTTTGAACTCTTGCACTACATAGAATTATTTGGGACGTTTCCCAGTACCAAAACTCTACCAACCACTGAGGATTTGGTAAGTGCTAATTACTAATTCTGTATTGAAAAATGAGGCTACAGGAGGTGGTAGCTTTTCTTTCTCCTACTGTTTGTTTATAATCTCTCTGGGTACCGTCTTTTCCTCCGAGCCC